TGGCTATAACTCAAGAAGTAAATGAGATATCTTCACCAAACTCGGTACACATGTGTACGAGTTCAATTTGAGGTGACAGTAAAAAAATAGCGACGATTGAACACTAGGTGGCGCTATAACATGAAAAAAACATAAAAAGGGCTATGACCACATGACCGTTAGTCCGATTGACTTGAAAATTGGTATGCAGTGTCTTGGACCAAGGCCCCATGTATATCTATGAGGACATTGGCGTATGTAAAAAAACATGGCCGCCATCGGCCAATGAAGTTTGAGCACCTGTGAGACAAGGTTAACGAAGGCCCATCGGAACGAAACTCGATGGGCATGTTCGACTCATGGCCCTAGAGGTCTGTAAGAATTTTGAAAAAAATCGGCCACTAGTTGGCGCTAACGAGTTTTATGGCTCTGTTATCACGTGGTGTTGCACACACCCCCACAATATGTATATCAATTGATAGATCTCCTCATGCTGAACAACTTTGCCTCAAGAACCATTGCTGTCAATCAAATCGTTCGTTAAAAATTCACGAATATGTTAAAAACGTACTTTTGCGAACTAGTCCCTGGTTTTTTGCCCGATCGGAACCAGACCAGTCTGGGACAATTCTTTGGACTCTCTAGATCAATAATTATCAAAAAAAGTTGAACTTTGTCATTTGTTTTGCTATAACAGGGTCATTTAAAAAAGGGGGCATGACAAAATGCACCCAAAAGCCTGAAAAATCCTAAAGGAAAAGTCAGAACTTCACAAAAATTGATGAGCATATGTGTCATAACGTATTCAACAAGCATGCAAAGTTTCATGGAGATCGGACTATAGGTGGCGCTATAATTGTTAAAAATATTAAAAACAATGTATACCCTATAGTAAATTGCCATTATTAAAACTTAAAACTTAATGTCTTTTGATGCTTTTGTGCTTAAAAGCCTTAAAGGCCTAAACTGCTTGAACCCCGCTAAATGCTGCTTGCAGCTTTAATTATTATTATTATTCTCCCCTAAAACGCATCGTGCAGCCCAAACCGTAAGGGCTAGAGCTCTGAAACTTTGTCAGATGGTAGTACAAAAATCGAGGAGAGGTTATCAAATTATGAGCCCGATTGGCCCATAGGTGGCGCTATAACAACCAATTGCGCGAAACTGCTCATAACTCCTAGACCGTAAGTCGTACACTCAAGTGTCTTATATCATTGGAAAGCTATTCACCTGACGAAAAAAACGTATATCTCCGATTTCATTTCCGGTATGCAAATTTTTCCGCCATTTTGAATTTTGTTGAAAAACTACTTTTGCAAACTAGTCCCTGGTTTTTTACCCGATTGGAACCAAACCAGTGCAGAAATGTTCTCTGGAGTCTGAAGATCAATAATTATCAAAAAAATGTTGAAATTTCTCGTTCCGGTCGCTAGGGGAAGCAAAATAAACGTTGTGGGAGGAGCCTATTTTACTAAAATGGCTATAACTCGAGAAGTAAATGAGATATCTTCACCAAACTCGGTACACATGTGTAAGAGTTCAATTTGAGGTCACAGTAAAAAAATAGCGACGATTGAACACTAGGTGGCGCTATAATATGAAAAAAACATAAAAAGGGCTATGACCACATGACCGTTAGTCCGATTGACTTGAAAATTGGTATGCAGTGTCTTGGACCAAGGCCCCATGTATATCTATGAGGACATTGGCGTATCTAAAAAAACATGGCCGCCATCGGCCAATGAATTTTGTGCATCTATGAAACAAGGTTAACGAAGGCCGATCGGAACGAAACTCGTTGGGCATGTTTGACTCATGGCCCTAGAGGTCTGTAAGAATTTTGAAAGAAATCGGCCACTAGTTGGCGCTAACGAGTTTTATGGCTCTGTTATCACGTGGTGTTGCACACACCCCTACAATATGTATATCAATTGATAGATCTCCTCACGCTGAACAACTTTGCCTCAAGAACCATTGCTGTCAATCAAATCGTTCGTTAAATATTCACGAATATGTTAAAAACGTACTTTTGCGAACTAGTCCCTGGTTTTTTGCCGGATCGGAACCAGACCAGTCTAGGACAATTCTTTGGACACTCTAGATCAATAATTATCAAAAAAAAGTTGAACTGTGTCATTTGTTTTGCTATAACAGGGTCATTAATAAAAGGGGGCATGACAAAATGCACCCAAAAGCCTATAAATCCTAAAAGAAAAGTCAGAACTTCACAAAAATTGATGAGCACATGTGTCATAACTTATTCAACAAGCATGCAAAGTTTCATGGAGATCGGACTATAGGTGGCGCTATAACTGTTAAAAATGTTAAAAACAATGTATTCCCTATGGTAAATTGCCATTATTGAAACTTAAACCTTAATGTCTTTTGATGCTTTTGTGCTTAAAGGCCTTAAAGGCCTAAACTGCTTGAACCCCGCTAAATGCTGCTTGCAGCTTTAATTATTATTATTATTATTATTCTCCCCTAAAACGCATCGTGCAGCCCAAACCGTAAGGGCTAGAGCTCTGAAACTTTGTCAGATGGTAGTACAAAAATCGAGGAGAGGTTATCAAATTATGAGCCCGATTGGCCCATAGGTGGCGCTATAGCGACCAATTGCGCGAAACGGCTCATAACTCCTAGACCGTAAGTCGTACACTCAAGTGTCTTATATCATTGGAAAGCTGGTCACCTGACGAAAAAAACGTATATCTCCGATTTCATTTCCGGTATGGAATTTTTTCCGCCATTTTGAATTTTGTCGAAAAACTACTTTTGCGAACTAGTCCCTGGTTTTTTTGCCCGATCGGAACCAAACCAGTGCAGAAATGTTCTCTGGAGTCTGAAGATCAATAATTATCAAAAAAATGTTGAAAAAGTCTCTTTGCGGTCGCTAGGGGGCGCAAAATATATGTTGTGGGAGGAGCCTATTTTACTAAAATGGCTATAACTCGAGAAGTAAATGAGATATCCTCAACAAACTCGGTACACATATGTATAAGTTCAATTTGAGGTCACAGTAAAAAAATCGCCACGATGGAACACTAGGTGGCGCTATAAAACGAATAAAACTAAAAAAGAGCTCTGACCAGCTGACCGTTAGTCCGATTGACTTGAAAATTGGTATCCAGTGTCTTTGTCCAAGGCCCCATGTATGTGTATGAGGACATTGGTGTATCTCAAAAAACATGGCCGCCACCGGCCAATGAAGTTTGAGCACCTATAAAACAAGGTTAACGAAGGCCGATCGGAACGAAACTCGTTGGGCATGTTTGACTCATGGCCCTAGAGGTCTGTAAGAATTTTGAAAGAAATCGGCCACTAGTTGGCGCTAACGAGTTTTATGGCTCTGTTATCACGTGGTGTTGCACACACCCCCACAATATGTATATCAATTGATAGATCTCCTCATGCTGAACAACTTTGCCTCAAGAACCATTGCTGTCAATCAAATCGTTCGTTAAATATTCACGAATATGTTAAAAACCTACTTTTGCGAACTAGTCCCTGGTTTTTTGCCCGATCGGAACCAGACCAGTCTGGGACAATTCTTTGGACTCTCTAGATCAATAATTATCAAAAAAAGTTGAACTTTGTCATTTGTTTTGCTATTACAGGGTCATTTAAAAAAGGGGGCATGACAAAATGCACCCAAAAGCCTATAAATCCTAAAGGAAAAGTCAGAACTTCACAAAAATTGATGAGCACATGTGTCATAACGTATTCAACAAGCATGCAAAGTTTCATGGAGATCGGACTATAGGTGGCGCTATAATTGTTAAAAATGTTAAAAACAATGTATACCCTATAGTAAATTGCCATTATTGAAACTTAAAACTTAATGTCTTTTGATGCTTTTGTGCTTAAAGGCCTTAAAGGCCTAAACTGCTTGAACCCCGCTAAATGCTGCTTGCAGCTTTAATTTTATTTTATATTCTACAGGAAAGTTGTATGTCAAGTCCTAAGCTGCTCCCAATAACCAAGCACAAGCTGCCAAGATAATATGCAGGACATGTTGCTCGCAAATAAATACACAGGTGTAAATGCATGATACATTGTCTTCTCTTAAATGTAATACTTAATGTACATTGTTGTTAAATATATTTTAATAATAATACTACATGATAAAAGGCTTCAAATAGACCCTGTAATCGGTGATCGGCCCCAAAAATCCTGATCGGAGCACTCCTAAGAAAAATCCTGGAATGTTTTCATCAAAAACCTTAATTTCTTTTCAACTGAAGAAAGAAAGACATGGACATCTTGGATGACATGGGGGTGAGTAAATTATCAGCAAACGTTTTTTTTTTTTTTTTAAAGTGAACTACTCCTTTAATAATGCATTAAATCTTTTCATAAATTGTAACCAAAGTTAAAATGCATTTTAATATTTCCAGATTCCTTGTTACATCTGACATTGGAATAATGTCATGTGTATACTTTATAAAGGTGTGTTTAATAAATCGGCAAGTGAATTATAACTGGTATTACAAATTATTCATGAGACCATCAATGCATTATAAGCAAAAAAGGCATTAAAATACATTTGAAAAAAGTGTTTATGTTTTTGAAAACAGCCTCGTTCACCAAGGCTGCCTTTATTTGATCAAATACACTAATACAGAACAATATAATTGAGTAAAAACAGTAATATTGTGAAATATTATTAAAATATTAATTATATTTTAAAATGTTATTTATCCCTGTGATGGCAAAGCAGAATTTTCAGCATCATTACTCCACTCTTCAGTGTCACATGATCCTTCAGAAATTATTCTAATATACTGATTTGGTGCTCAATAAAAATATTTTATTATTATCAATGTTGAAAACAATTGTGCTACTTAATATTTTTGTGGAAACCATGATAAATGGTTATATGATATGATTCTTTGACCTTAACAGAAGCATTTATTTGAAACAGAGTCCATTTTTGTGTGTGTGTGTGTGTGTGTGAGAGAGAGAGAGACAGAGAGAGAGAAATATCCATACACAGTACACCTGATATATATTTTTATGTAATATGTATACGTGTATATATACACACCTGAACGCGGCAAGTATCAGTACATTATGTGTGTGTGAGAGAAGTATGTGGGTGTATGTGGGGGTGGATAAAATTAGCTGGCATGTTGTCCGCCAGGAACATGTTGATCATGCTAACTGTGATCCAGCCATTTGTTTTAACAGTCTTACAAGCAGATTTATCTACAATGCCTGTAAAATATAAGTCACTATGATTTCATTTGATTCATATGATTTTTTATTTGTATAAAATCATTGCCAAAATCACAATTTGTGTGTGTGCGTCGTTGTGTACATACCTTGGCCGGAGTTATAAATGGCTTTGACTGACTTCTTAACCTTCAGCAATGAGCATCTGTCCTGATCCAAAGCCTATGGACAAAAAGAAAAGAGATAGGATCACTGAAGCTGTGCATTTGTGATGTGACCTAACAGGAATGTTACACTAGAAACTATAAATAATTGTAATAAATAATCCACTTAGAAATCCTTAACAAACTCTGTTTGTGCTGTAATAAGAAGACTGCCCAGAAATGTGGCATACTGACCCCATATCATTGCTTTCAACCACTTAACTGTGGAACAATAAATCAAGCAAACAAAAGTATTGATTTATTCAGGGCAATTTTTCCTTGCAGATGTAAAAAAACAGTTCGAGGCACAAGATGCTTTATACACGAGTGTGTGAAACACATAGTACTAGATTCATGTATATTTCATGCTATGCTGTTTTCACTATTTTTTCCCTCAAAAGAAAATGAACAAGTAAACCAGAAATTATTCAAAATCACAAACTAATCAAGTTAGTGTTTCTATCGTCATCACCGGCGGCCATCTTGTCACAGGCAAGCTGATGTAAGATGAGTGATCAGCACGAACACAAACACTCTAATCTCGTTGAAATCTTGACGGATTTACAAATGGTTTGGTTTCTTACCAACGTTATTAACGTGGCAATAATTCTGGATGATTATTTATTTATACACTTATTATTCATAAGTATGCAGTGTCATAACTACATCTCTGACGTTTATAACAAACCAAACCGTTTGAAAATCGGTAGAAAATTGAGCAAGTTCTGGTTAAAGTACATGCACTATTAAAACACAATGTTACGAGTCAGCAAGCTGCCTGTGACAAGATGGCCGCCAGGTGCAGACGTCGACCTCCATTGGCCAGCAGCGTGGATGAGATGTCTAGCCTTTATTGAGGATATCTATGATATTGCCTGCTATTGCTTCTGGATTCCTGATTCGATTGGATTCAGACTCACAAACTCTGAATTCGATTCAATTCGGATATGAATTGTTCAGATAGGTCATACTTCAATTATAATGTTTATTTTGCTTGCATATGAACAAATAATTCCCTCAGCCAATGCTTTAAATTATACAGGGAGCTTTCTAACTTGGTAAGAATCTAAAAATATGGAATTGAAAATCAGATTAGGAAGGGCAGGATATTTTCAGGTATCTTAGTGCATTATTTGTAGTGGAATTGGTTGGCTGGGTTTGCTAATGCTAACATTAGCGGTGCACACTTATGCTACTTCTTTCTGTTTACGTTCAGAAAGAAGTCACTGACTGCTTTATGAATCTTGGACAAAATAATTTATTTAAATATCAATACAGTGTTTTTAAAGAATCAGTAGCCTGACTTCGTCAAACTCATTTTCTTATGAGTCTATGAATATGAGGAATAGGAATATGAGTCTGAAACTGCTCCGTAGGGCTTTGATTATGAGGCGTGTCTTAACCGAACCAGGAGAAAAAAAAACTTCTGCACTCAATTGGATAGTCTGTGAACCTACAACCAATCAGAGCAACGCAGTAAGTCAACTACTTTGCATACAGTTGTCAACTACAGAACTTACTTATTTTAGAAGTTAAATAACGAGTGTTGCTTCTTTTACTTGGTCCTCCATGAGTGCGACCAAAGGAGAAACCACAGCGACCACAGGCATTTCATTACGTCCCATCTTCTTAGCGACTGTCAGAGCCAGCTGATAAGTTACACTTTTCCAGAATCATGTAGGAAGGACGGCAAAAATATCTTTCCGATCAACAAATGCCTTGATAGCAGTTTTCTGTTTGTCTATTAAAATGAATGCGCTGTCGATTTATTTTACAACAGACGCAACAGCGGAATCTATACATCTCAATTCTCCAGCTCCAGTCATCTCTGAAGGAAACCAGTTAAGCAATCTTTGATAACGTAATGATTACGTCCTTGCAGATCATCTGTCCATCATCATATAAAGCCAGCCCTGGCAATTTGATTCGCCCGAACGTTTTTTTTTTTGCCTGATAACAATTACTCCTCAATGGATCGAGTCCAGACCGAACTTCCCGACCAAAAAATGTTGTGGGCGGAGTTCGGGCTGGCATCCAGGCTAGAGAATCAGTACAGAATTGGCAAACATATTATTGTGATATTTTAGCGTGTCAATATTTTTAGGGCTGTCAACTTTAGTCGTTTAGTGACTAATCGGTCGATGCCATCTTGGTCGACTGATATTCTTATTGGTCGACCAGTTGCATTTTTTTTTTACCAATAGAAAGAATTTTTCAATGATTTACTCCTTGATATTTATTACTTTATAAGCAGTTCCCTTTTAACGGCTATATCATGCTGACTCAATAGATTGTGTTTTCTTAATATGTTTTCGTTTTTATTTGTACACTTGACGCATTTGAAAATAGCCTAAATAATGCAACAAAACGAAAATAAACCTATACGCGGTCCTACAGCCTATTATTAGGATTGTTTTTAGGCTATTTGGGATTTTTGTGTGTTGTTTTAAAACGCCTTGATCGTCAGGGCGAAAGTTAACCTAAAGCTTTGAAAGTAAAAAAGAATATAAAGCCTGTATAAACGAGAGCTTTTGTTGGGATTTTCCATTATGTGGCAGATAGCAGTTATATTTTTTGCAGCGTGTGATGTGATCAGGTGCACGATTGTGACTGTTACTATAGACCTAGGACAGAGCTCTTCACTTTTTGCAGTTAAAAAAATCGCTTAATTTTCAAAGAATTGTATTATTATTATAGTTTTATTTATTCGTGATGCTTTTTCGTTGTTGTTTTATAAATGCTCAATGACAATTGTTTAAAAAATGTTTATTCAAAACATCACTTTTTATTTATTTTAGTTTTTTTTTTTAGTTTTTTTAGACTTTGGTCAACTGAGGATTTCTTTGGTTGACTACAGCCCTAAATATTTTCTTACACCCCTAATTGCCGTTTCGCTTCCAACACACGCTTTATGCAAGCAGACACAGTCAGCAGACTGGGCAATCTGACCAATCAGAGCAGAGTAATCTCTCAAAAAGGAGGAGTTTAGAGGATTCAAACCGTTCCAGACAATGCTGCAGTGTATATTATGAAAAAAAAAAGTTATTTTTTTAACCTTCCTAGATGCATGTAAGTCGATGAAATCATTCCATCAATGAAAGTAACTTAATATTGTTCATTTTAAAATTCGATGTTCAACAATATAATTTTCCAAACTATACTGGAGGGCTACTCTTCTTATTGTATAATGGTATTATATATAGTCCTGCTACTTCTGAAAAATTCTTTAGTGACATTTCAATGTATGGTTTCTAGAGATAAAACAAACAATGCCAAAAAGGCAGATGACATTTCTTGACCACAGAATGTTTAGTTGACCACAAAGTTTAAACTGTAAAAAGGTCAAATTCACTGATGTCAAAGTTCACTGGTGAAAGCTGCCATGTTTCCTACTAACACTCTTATCCCGTTAACACAGAGCAGGCATTTCCTTCCCAAACTCGAAATAAGTGCACAAACCCAACCCAAACCTGACAACATACTGTCTCACACAACCACTAACCCGACCTGCGTTGGCAGTTCTGCCCGTAAGTTTACATACCTCTTGCAGAATGAGCGAGATGTTAATAATTCTAACAAAATAAGAGGGATCATGATAACTAACTGCATGTTATTTTTATTTAATACTGTCCTAAATAAGCTTTCATATGATAGACGTTTCCATAGTCCATAATTGTGCACAAATTAACCAGTTCAAAAGTTTACTCCCTAGAATCTCAATACTGTGCTTTATTACCTGGATGATTAACTATTGTTTTCATGTCTTGTGATAGTTGTTCAGTCTCTTGTTTGTCCTAATCTGATAAGGTAAACAATATATATATATATATATATATATATATATATATAATTTAAGGGCATGTAAACTTTGATATTTCTCAATAAAAGATATTGTTTTTATAGTTTATAGTATAGTATAGTTTTTTAATATTGTTTTTATTTGTATATTATTTGTATTTATTTATTTTTATTACGTTTTTTTTCGTTTTTTTTTTTTTTTTACATTATTACATTGTTTTCCTCTTTGTAATTATTTTCATTTTACTCTATATTTGTAAAGTTTAATACTGGTTTAATATCAGAATTCCTAATTCAAATTGAAATCATAAAATTTAAGTCTAAAATTCTCAATTTTTCTGCATAAAAATGGGTTTAAATTGGGATAAAATCTACAAAGTACTTTCCCCCCAGTACAGACATTCCTAAATAAAGACCATGGTAGGGCCCTTTGAAATCATAATTGTGTGATATTTCTTACAAAATGTTTTAATAAATTGATTTAAGTACATTCTACAGTACAATAGTAATATATTAGTCAATTTCTTCACGTTAAACTGAACTTTGGTGGGTTTTAGTGAAGTTTTTGGTTTCTATGTGAATTTGACAATCATTTTAATCAAATTAAATGCTGAAATTATTGTGAAGTGACTCTTAGAACAGCTCTAAAAAAAATCATACAGTGAAACGGCAGATGCAAAAAACTCCACAAGCGTCACGTCATGTGTGCTTTAGTATGAGTAGATAAAACTGCAACGCTCATTCACACAGAGACATGCAGACTTCAGATTTTCAATATTTCAATATATAAATATTTTTTATACTGGACCTAAATATGGAGACGAGTCCACATTGTACTGGATTCTCTCCATCTATTCCAAATCGTGGAAATCCCAGGTCTCTTCTCTGGAAGTCCACCAAGTTCGCTTCAAAGCCTGTCCCACTCCACCCAGAGAAAATGTCCCTATACATATTTAACATCTCATTCAACAATGGAAGCAAACCTCCCCTGACAGAAAAAATGTAGGAATGTGACAAAGAAAGCAAACAATGTATTTAGCATCCAAGATATACGACACTGAATTATCGTTTATTTTGCCACTACTTTGGCAAACGAACATCCATTTCAAAAGAACACAAGAAAAACATCCAAGTTACTGCCAAATCCTCTGAGCTGTGTGCGTTATGGGCGTATTCGACACAGATTTTATGAAGAATCACTCGCATTCCAGCCTCAGAGTT